TCTCACCCGCTCTCTCTCGCTTTCTTTAGCTTTCTCGATCTCTCTCTCTCTCTCTCTCTCTCTCTCTCTCTCTCTCTCTCTCTCTCTCTCTCTCTCTCTCACTCACTCTCGCTTTCTCTAGCTTTCTCGATCTCTCACTTTAGCTCTCTTCCCCTCTCTCTCTCTTCCTCTCTCTCTCTCTCTCTCCCTCCATCTCTCTCTCTCTCTCTCTCTCTCTCTCTCTCTCTCTCTCACTCACTCGCGCTCGGTCTCTCTCGCTCTCTTTCTTTCGCTTCCCCTTTTATTTTTCCTGTCTTCCCTCTCTCTTTCGGTCTCCCTTCTTCCTGCCCCCCTCTCTTCCCCTCTCTCTCTCTCTCTCTCTCTCTGCTACTTCTCAGTATAGAAACATCTTTGGCGCAGAGTTACTGGGTTGCCGCTGTCTCTCTGCCACGCGACACTTACGTTACGCCAGCGACGAAAACCTAGCAAGACGAAGGAACAGTGGATTAACATGCTTTACATTGACATGTGACACATGACATGCACGCACGCACGCACGCACGCACGTATACACACGCACGCACGCACGCACGCACACCCCGCTCTACGACTAAATCCCGGGTACAAAACTTGCTAGAACGTTCAAGACGACTAGTGTGCTTCTGACACTATTACGTCGCAGGCACCAGTATGTCACTGACATACCAATACAATTATGCCACAGACATAATAAGTATGTCGCGGACACAATTAGTATGTCACAGACATAGTCAATAAGTCACAGACACAATTATGTCACAGACATTAGTATTTCACATAGCTCTATGGCCCGGACGCTTGTATGCTACGTACACTAGAAACTTGAATCAATCAAGAGATGTTAACGTCTGAACACCTTATAGACGTGCATGCAGCGGCACAACAAGAAAACTCGTCCGTCCAACATCAATGGCGTAGCTAGAATTTTTTAAGAGGGGGGCCAAAACAGCGAACTGCGCAAAATGGTAGATGACTCCTTAATATTTTAATGGTTCCTCCGCCTCCCTCTCTACACCCTACGTTCTCCCACCTCTCAGCTCAGCAATCTTTGTTTGAGGCGCCATGCATAAAGGCGACATTTTTGTTTGTTGTTCTCTGCATGCTGCCAAGATATATAAGAGGAGGGGTGAAAACAGGCGGGGGGTATGGGGGTCTTCCCCCAGAACATTTCTAAAATGTTGATCGCAGGAGATAGTATTTGAGCCACCTTTGAGTACATGTACAGCCTTCATTCTGACTAGGACAATTATCTTTTTAGTAGAACAATTCTTTTTTTTTCTTTTTTTATTTTTACATTTGGATCAACAGGGGGGGGGGCATGGCCCTCTTTGGCTCCCCTAGCTACGCCACTGCCCTACATTGTTGAACCGAATTTGGAACGCTTTTGTCGTGACGTGTCGTTGACTGCCATTATACCGAGCTGCCTGCTAACGTGCAGATAAAAGGCCAGCTACCCCCGGACATCAGCTCACTCTGACAAACACTGTCTCACAGGTAACGTTGCTTGTGGAGAGAGAGAACGAGAAAAAAAGATAGAGAGAGACGAGAGAGACGACAGAGAGAGAGAGAGAGAGAGCTAGACGCAATCACAAGGTAAGCTGTAGATATACTGGCATACACACATACACACATGCACACACACACACACACACACACACACACACACACACACACACACACACACACACACACAC